TTGCCATTTGCAACTACGTGGATGGAACTGGAGGGTATTATGCTAAGTGAAATTAGTCAGTCAGAGAAAGACAAAAATCATATGACTTCACTCATATGAGGACTTTAAGAGACAAAACAGATGAACATAAGGGAAGGGAAACAAAAATAATATAAAAACAGGGAGGGGGACAAAACATAAGAGACTCATAAATATGGAGAACAAACTGAGGGTTACGGGAGGGTTTGTGGGAGGGGGGATGGGCTAAATGGGTAGGGGGCATTAAGGAATCTACTCCTGAAATCATTGTTTCACTATATGCTAATTTGGATGTAAATTTAAAAAAATAAAAAATAACATTAAAAAATTCATCCTCGGATCCATAAAAGTGCTTGATTAAAACTTGACGAAAGACTGTTTTGTGTCATCATCTGCAGAGGTCTGTGCTCACATCTTCCACTGGCACCATTTAAATTGTTGAGGCCAGGAGCTCCTCAGCCTGGTCTGCTACGTCCTGCTAAGCTCCAGTGTGGAAGCGGTTTGTGATATCAAGAGGACCAGGTGACACAGGGTTGCTAATGTACATGGATGCAGGCTATGGCATGACAGCAGAATGAAAGATTTCTTCTTGCCTCCTGGTGACAGTGAAGACAGCAGCAATCTAGAGCTCTGTGGAGGTTATCTTCACTTTCAGTATGCATGGAAAGCCTAGAACTTCTTGAAATCATTTGATAGGCACACCGTTTACTGGTTACCAACTATAACCATGACTCTAATCCTTGCTTGATATATATCCTACAGGTGTTGGCAACTTCTCAGGGCCCTGTGGGGCCTCACTGTCAGGGTGGGGGGAGGGCTTATTAAAAAAAATACAATGTTCCTTCCACTGGGTCATTATTATTTCCATTATTTCCTTCTCATTAGCAATGAGAAGAGAGGTGTCTTTTTTTTCCCACATAAGTGCTGTGTCAGTTTGTGTAAGTTTATAAAAAATGTTTAAATATATGCAGAAAATATTATTTTGAGGACCCTGATTCCTTTAGGATGTAGCATGTCACTCCTAGTGCACATTTCTTACCTTGACTGATACAGAATGATGTAGCACCTTTTAATCTGCCGATAAAATACTAATTATGTGCTTTGCCTGCAATCCATGCCACATCCACACACATATATATAATGTACATTATACATAAATATTATAGATGCAATTTACACATATTACACACACACACACACACACACACACATTATGTCCCATCATTAGGACTTATGCATGGCCTACAGCTTTGAGAAGAACTATGACTTACTTGCAGGATATGCTTTACACTCTGTCTCTTCTCTTTCTCTCCAAATACCATCTTCACTCCTCAAGACCCAGCAAGACCTGCCTTTTCCACAAAGCTTTTGCTATTGCTAAGCCTTCTGTAATTTAACTCCAATCTATTGACCTAAGTTTACTTCCGAAGTGAATAATTACAAATGGAGTGCTCATGTGTAGCACACTCTGGCCAAATGAATCATATGCCTTCTGCAAAGTAAGTGCTCAAAAAATAGCTGTTGAATACCAAATGTGTAAAATAGAACCACTCATTGCCTGATACAGTGTCTGTACGTGGGAAAAACTCAGTAGCTGAATGAGTTGTTCTCCATGTACACCTTCTACCTACACCTGTGTGCTTCCGTTTATGTTGTTCCTCTATCACATCGGCTATTCCGAGAGTCTCCTCCTGCTCTTCTCAGCCTTTTAAAGTCTTAAACAAGTATTGTAGTTCTGCTGAATAACACCGACCTCCTTCTTGAAGTTCTAATTCACTGCAGCAGGAGGTGACCCTCCACACTTCACTCCTCCTAATGAGTGTAGTTCGGGGCCACTATTTCAATTGTTAATAGGCATGGTCTTACACGGCAATTCTTTGTGCAGGTTCCTGATCTCTTAACTCATGGTAACTTCCTTGAGAGAAGAATCACTATATTCCTCATAGCCCTAAGCTGAATCTTTGAAAAAAGAAAGCTCTAAAAAAATATCTATACATTAAACTTGAAGTAACTATTCCAGTCCATCTTCATTTACTCTTTTTCAGAACATCTTGACCATATGTATTCATTGCACAATTTAGACCTTAAAGCTATACAGTTTCTCATTAATTTCTAGAAGTTCCTTATGTCCCAACTAGACTGAAATTCTTCAGGGCAGGGGCTAATATGCTCCCATGTTTGGTTGCTGAGGTCAAAGAGGATGCTCAGTTGTGGACTGACTGAAGTAGCAGAGATGTGATCTAATTTATAACAGGCACTCCTTTGAAGAATATTTCAAAATCTTTATACACATTTCTCATTTAAAGTCATCATCCCAGGAACATCAGTTCTGATGCAGCCAGTTGACAGTTTAACCTGTGAAGGCCCTCTGAAAATAAGGCACTGCTGGTCATTCCTGATTTTGGGGTAAGAAATTGTCCCGGAGACTATGTAACTGGTCATGAGAAGCAGATGTAGAGACTAATATAAGGATGAAAGACAACGAGAGGGCACCTATTACAACATCGCAGCTAACACAATGGTGCACTGTTCCATGTTTAGCTCTCATTAAATTTCTCACAGGGCAATTAGACATAATGAAAAATCCTCTCAGGGCCGGTATATTTCTAACCACTCATCTGCCCAAGCAAGAAAAACCCTGCTCCAGGCTTCAAGTGCCAACCTTCCCTAGGCATAGAGATGTGTCATCTTTTACCAGCTCCTAGGTAACTTTTCTCCAAGTAACACTTGCCACATGCCTTCCTCAGCAGTGTCACATCTTTCCCTGACCAAACTGATTTCAAATGAATGGTTTCATGGTGAAACTACAGTGGTAGCAGGTTTTTGTTTTTGTTTTTTTTTTTTAAATTCTTACCTGTATGTTTAGTCTGCCTCATATAATGGGAGACAACATAAGAACAATTTGGCTACAATCTGGACCTGGCAGAAGAAGGACCACATGGCCCCCAAATGTCATCTGAGATTCAATCCACGTTGTCACGTGACCACTCTGGCAGAACTCATCAGATAGATGGCCAGAACTGGTAAACACATTTATGTGTGTGCACGCTCATGTTCGAACATGTTCATCTACACCTTCTTATGTAGACATCATACTCATCCATAACAATCCCCAGGCCATTTTAAGGTAGAACCCTGGAGTAGCCACATATTCCAAAAGAATTTTGGTTAGCCCACTAAATTAAAAAAAAAAAAAATTTTTTTAAATTTAAAAAAAATTTAAAAAAAATTTTTTAAAAATTAAAAAAAAATAAAAAAAAACAGAAGAAAAAAGAAATTTTTTCCTTTGCTAAATTACTTATTATGTGTAAGTACTGGTAGGCTACATGATTTGTTTACAATAAGCCAATGCATTTTCTTATCTCTGTTACCCCCAAACAGAGCAAACAAAAAACTATCAAAAAGCAAACATAAAACCAGTTAATGGCGGTGTTTTCTCCACTCTCCTTATGAAGTTAAAGGTTTATGTCAAAGCTAAAATGTCAAAGCAGCTGAAATAGATGCTCTTCGCAGCCTCTCTAGGTCTAAAATGTAACTTGAGCTCTACTCTTTCAGCTGGGGCTACGTTTTTAATTTTCTTTAAAGATTTCCTTTGCCATACTTTTCATTTCACAGGTTGTTTTTTTTTTTTTTTTTTTTTTTTTTTTTTTTTTTTTTTTTTTTTTTTTTAATTCCTCAAGCCTTGCCCAGTGCAGTGAAAGCTACCTTAATGAAGAAAGTAGAGATTAAACTACCATGACTTTGGAACAGCAGAGGCTCTCAGCTGTAATTCTTTGGCTCAGAACCAGGGTCTAAAACCAGGCATGGGAAAAGCTGCTGACATGGAGCCTGCAATTCTCTCCATGTTTGACTTGCACAATGTTGACATTATAACACCAGAGAGACCCAAAAATATTTCAAACAATTATGACTTCTTTTCTATAAATATTTTAAAATTGCTTTACAAGATAAAATAACATATTTTACCCTTCTTGTTTTTTTTTACTTTGGTGGCCCTCAGCAGCTCACTACTACAGATTTATTTTTGGCTCAAAGGTCAGGGAGGACATCTTAAGGCACTACCTCTGTTGTTAAACTGTGTTTTCCAACATGAGTTGCCCAGTGAGTAGGGGAGTCAGCTACTCTTAAAGCAACAAATGAATGCAGTGTCAGAGCATAGGAGAAACAGACTTTATTTCTTATGTTGGACACTCAAGCAAGGAAAAAAAAATCATGCACTCAAGACAATCTTTTAAAAAGTCTCGTACCCCTTTATAAGCAGAGTTTACTTTCTGGACAGGAACATCCTTCTTCTCATTCCCTTTCATTACTCATTCTCGCTCCAGTTATTTCTACTATGAGACATACGTTTGAATGTACTGGGACTTCACTAGGAAGAGTGTATAAAAAAGGAAGGAGACTTATAGAGATGGCCAAGGAAATCATGAGTTCTTAGTACATTATTCAACTCTTTTCATTTGTGTCTTCCTTCACACTTTGCCAAATGGTAACCATCCAGAGTGTGAGAGGTGAAATTTATTTGAAACCTGCAATTTCCGTTCTCAGAGAATATGATTCAGAGACCTTAATTCTGAGCTCTGGAAATAGGCGATGATATCCTTAGTCACGGATGAACAGAGTGATCAGTAGGTTAATAACCAACCTTCCAGTGCAATTTCAATATCTCTCCCAGGACCAACAGACCTGGCTTGCTTTCAATATAAATGTCCTCAGCATGATTTGCAGCATTTATTTTTGATGTGAAAAGATCAGATGCCAAAACTGTATTCCTCCTAAAACATCCACAGAAAAGTCCTCCCAGTTTATGATTTTAAAGCTAAGACCAGTTTCCCATTTGCTGCTACTTAAAACTTACCTTTTCTAATTAAAGCATCCAAAGAACTTATATTTAACAAATAAAGTTCAGTGTTATTTCAAAACACTGGGGGTGGGAATGGGAAAGTAGAACTCACCTTCACTCCCAGAAAAAGCACTGCTTGATCCTGCCACTGCCAAGGTCAACAGCAGCTGCCAGAAATCCATACCTGTAGGACCTGCAATCATACAAAAAGGAGTAATCATACAAAAAACAGTAAGATAAAAGCAGACCATTATCATTACACACTGTTTATAAGCTGACAAAACCATGAATGAGCTGACATGCATGTCAGTTCCAGAAGGAATCCCAGTAAATCTTTCATTGCCCCAGAGTCTCATATTATTATACTTTTCATAAGGGCAAACAGTAGGTTTGTAATAAATTCTATTTCCCATGTGTGCTTGCCTCAGGAAATAACATGGACACTAGAGAGTTTCCCATCTTGGCCAACAGCCCTAGAAACACTTTACAACAAAGGACCCCCTCCTCCTCCCCTTCCCCCCTCCCACTGCTTCAATAATAGGGCCAGTGTGGTTTCACGTTAATTTGATCTGGAAATAGAAAAACTTGTCAGCAGTATCACCAAGCATAGGGCCTTAAGCTGGACAGGCCATAAAAGGCAAAACACAACAAACCACTTGTAATAGTAAAACTCCTCCAGTGTTTCTCACTGAATAAAGGAGCTCAACTAATACTTAGAAACCCATGCTGATGAGCCATCATGAGGAGGTGTAGCTAGAAGGGAGCAGAAAGGAGAAGGTGAGAAGCACAAGAAAACAAAACACCTGTGCTTCCTAGGTGGCCTGCCTAGGATACCCTGCCTGTCGTGGTTGTTTTCTGTTTTAGGAAGAATGTGGTCTCTGAAAGGCCCAGGAATGTGAACACCAACCCCCCCCACCCCACCCCACCCCCACTCAAAGAAAGGTCAGTTGGTGGCCTTGCTAGCTATCTGGGTGTGGCCACGCCTTAATCCCTTCAGTTTGATGAATAGGGGAGCAGATCATGCCTCAGCCAGCCCACACTTTTACCTGGGGGAAATAAGCTTCTTTGGAATAAATAAGCCAGGTGTCCACTTCTAGGACCTCTGAAGAGACAGGTTTGGGCTGGTTTAACATGAACTCAGCACACTGTCCTTTGGAGAGCTGTTGCTACATCTGACAACTAATGCCAACTACTTTAAAGCTTAGCGGCAATATTTTCATAAAATTACATTACTTACACATCACTCAGGCATACCTGATCATCACATTGGGAGCTCCACCGGGGCCTCTATTGGCCTCATTTTCTCTATGGTACATTCTTGACAATAATGAAATAGCCTTTCTCATTACCCCTAATCAGGCTGAAATGATGAACAAGAATATTTGTTCTCATGGGTAATGGAATGGTGTGGTTCCCAGTAATGGCTGTGTAATTCTGAATAGGTATAAAGTGTGATATTTCAAACTTTCATTTCTAGATAGTGGATGGCCCATCATTTTTTTGTTGTTGTTCCATATGATTTCACATTCTTAAGAAGTTCTGAGAAAACACATCTCTACATAAACTGAATATCTTCCTGGGTCTGAATACCCATGTATATGCCTATCGTATAAAGAATGCCCTCAAACATTGCCTCGCGGAGTCACTGACAGAACTGAGTGACACTGCATGTGCACACACTGCCAATTACAGGATTGCACACAAATGTGAGTTGCAGTTATTGTAGCATCCATGTTTTAGGTTCCTAACCTGGAAGGCTCTGGGCTAATGGCCTTTGCATCGTCCTCATCTGCTTTGCAAATGTGAACCACTGAGCGGCTCTCTTTACTGCTAGGTGAATAGGCTATGTGATCCTAGCTGGAAGCTGCCAGCAGAAATGTGTAAAAAGGGCAAAAATAAATATGTGAAAGGCTGAAAATGCCATCCTTTTGCTAACTGGATATTTCCTTTTAAAATTTATTTTTAAGGTTTTTTTGTTTTGGTGTGTGTGTGTGTGTGTGTGTGTGTGTGTGTGTGTGTGTGTGTGTTTGTAAGGAGGAAAGGCATCGAGGAACTGGGCTCTGAACAGTGTTAGTTTTCGTAGCAATCCCCCAATGCACTTAGTGTCAGGTAAAGACACCTCCTCTGGCACTTGCTCTCTCGATATCAGGTTGTAACAGAGAGTTCCAGTTCTAGGCAGGGTTTTTTGCTTCCCAACTGAATCAAGATATGAATAGGTCTGCCTTTCTCAGAAGGCTGCTTTCTCTGGTTTGGAAGTCACATCTTCAAATATTTCAAAGACACTTGGCAGATGCCAGAAACAAGCGAGTTTTGCTTCAGATGAATTGTAGTTGGCTCCCTCTCGTCCCCAAACTTTTGAAAGCTGCTGCCTGCAAATGAACTTCACCTCTTTCAAATTTTCACAACATATCTCCATAGAACGCATTCTATCTCATAAAGAAACAAACAAATCAGAGTCCTTAGAGCAAAATTAGCCATACATCTGTTTGCACAGCCCTACAGAAAAGGAGGTATTTAAAACTGCTATTTTACCCCTAGGAGATAAGAACAGGTCACTGCACTGAGAGCATTGCATAGGGCCCCAAGTCTCGCTCCAACTAGGGAGCAGAGAAGAGGATGGAGAAGTGTGGCTGGATTCAGGAAGAGCTAACTGCTTCATCCAAAGACTAAAACTCTCCTTCCACTGTTGCTGGCTCAGTGGGGCTGACTCTGAAAGTAGTTCCTTACTGAGCGGTCCCCAGAGCCAGCATGTGGCTGGGCTCATGGATATTCTGTTCGATTTGACTAGAGGCTGCTCTCTTCAGTTTTGCAGAACTCCATGTGGCAGCTTCTAGGTGAGAGGAGCCTTCTTTATTAGGTTTAAGCTGAGAGAAAAATGTCCCTAGGAGAGGACAAAGTGTCAACACACAAAGTCTGAAACTTTAATGTAATTCATCAGTGATGTGCCCATGTGAGAAGGAGAAAGTACCATTATTCCCCTTCCCCACCATAAGTCTCTATGTAGAGGCAGGTACTCCAGAGGAATCTACCAAATTGTACCTTAGCCTACTGGGTTCTTATTTTACAATGTAAGTTTGTAATATTTTTCTAGGGAAAATACCTCTGTAAATTTCTACTGATATTTATGCATTCTTTGGCTATAGCCTCACAGCAAGATTTTCATTTGGGGTGGGGCGGTGGTTGGGTGGGGGAGACAAGTTTCTATTCTTGCATAATGGAACTCACACCATTTTCACTTTCAAAGCCTGAGGCATTTTGCCTGCCCATGCCCCCAACCCCCACTTCCACAAGGGAGAGCTAGCTGAAAAGCAGTGTAATCCGCTGGTGTGAGTTTTCATTCTATAAACTGCCCAGCAGAGGAGACTTCCAAATCACAGTTAGGCCTGTGATATACTGACTTTTATTCCTCGGCTATAAAACGGTACATAAACACATGAGAAGAGATGGAGATTAAACATGATATTTTTTTCCAATATGTTATAACCAATTCCAGGCCAAGAAAGGAATCGCTTCCATTTTTTTTTTTAATCTTAAAATGAGCAAGTAGTTGTTGAATTCTTAGTTCTAGAATTGTGCAGGACACAATGGAGAATACAAAAGTAATCACAATCATGGTTCTCTCCCCCAAGAATTAGGCAAGATAGGCATGTGAAATTATGAAAAGAGGAAGTGTACCTAAAAATGAAAGAAAGATCAGAGTGGGGAAATAGCGAGCGACTGAATGACAGAGAAGATTGTGCTAGGTAAGGAATAGTGGGGGTAGGATGTGAACATGCATTATGGGTAAGAGCTCAGATGGTACAAATGTCCTGGGTATGGCTTTGGATCTGATTAGCTCAGGGCAGTAGTTGGAATGAGCTGGTGAGATAGAGAACAGGTTTGAAACTATGAATAAAGGGGAATAAAATTGGACTGGCAAAGGAGGACTAGCCCGAAATAGCATTTCAACTCGTATTAACCAGAAAGTCACTAGAAGTTTTGGGATAGGCAAAGCATGTGTAAAATGGATTATTCTTGGGCTAAATCTGCCCCTCATACTTTCCTCATTAAGTATCACTGAGAAATACTGACAAGATATGGTGATGACTGGATATAGAAGATGATAAAACATGTCTATTGTAAATGGCTGAATATATGTGTGGAGGAAAGATGGCGCTATTGATAGAAATCGGAACTTTGGGATCGGAGCTGTTTAGAGAGGATAAGATCACATGACTGTCTTGGGATATTTGGTACTAAAGTGATTTACCAGTGATTGAAAGACTTGTGGAAATGTTAGAAATGTCTGGTAGGAAGATGAAGGTAGGAGACCAAAGACTGGGAGAGAGAATGAGGTCATTACTGGATTTTAGAGATATTTACATAGAGAGGATGAGTACCAGATGAATTTAATGTGAAGACTAGACTATTTCAGGAAGAACCCCCATATCAACTTTATTAAAAGTAATCTTAAAAACCATGTTAAGCCATATAGGGGAACATGTGTTCATATCTGGTTTGTAATTTGGCAGGGACAAAATGAACCACCACCCACAGCTACCTACACCCTCTGATTTGTATCAAGTATTTAAAAGGAAAGAGGTTAACAGCATCCCTAGAAGAATGATGTTAGCATATTTATATATAGGAGGAATAGTATGGAAGATTAAGGAACTTGTAGCCCTGTTAAGGCAAAATACCAGAGTGGCAGCTGAATTGATAGAAATAATATATCCCCAAATTTTCATTTTACTGAACTAGCTATTCTGATACCAAAAAAGTAAGAGCTGATTAAAAAATCCCTACAGAAGCAGAGGTGTTTATATTGCAAAACCAAGACTCTAGCTAGATAACCTAATAAATGTGTACTTTCTGATGCAGGTGTTGATTAGTAATGAAATATTGCAAAACTGAATCGAGCTGATTTCCTGGTGAAGCTGTGCTAAGAACTCAATGCTGAAAAAGAGGCTAATCCAAAAGAGTATTTGTAACAACCCATTGTAATTAGTACTGGGCACTTACTTGAATAGTTTGCATTTGTTCGTGTCATTACCCACTTTTTATAGTGGTGGTCACTTGAAAATTGTTCAGACCTAAAATGCCTAAGGTCATTTTATTTCTTTCCCGTTAGTGAGACAGAAAAAGTTCACAAACATTACTGACTTCACTAGTTTTGCTGAGATTTCGCTCTTCTCAGAATCTAATGGGGAATACAGGATAGGAA